ATTAAGTTTTTAAAAGAATAGAAATCCGAATTATATAAAACCCAAAAGCTATTCGAAATCATTATTGATTATAAGAATCTAGAGTACTTTATATCGACAAAGATACTAAATCAAAGATAAGCTAGATAAATTGAATTCCTATTTAGCTTCAATTTTTATATTATATACCATTCTGGTTATAAGACAGTTCACCTTAATACATTGAGCCGAAAGGTAGAAGATTATTCTATTCATATTGATTCTAATAATAATTAGATTAAAAATTGTTTATAAACAATTCTCCTAAAAAAAGTATTTGATAATATTATATTTAAAAACCTTATTCAATAAGTTAACAATGATATCGATCTTATTGCAGTCTTTATAAATATAATTATTTTTAATATTGAAAAGCCAATTAATAATCTTATCAATATAGTATACAAATTATCTGAATTAATTACTATTATATATAAAACCCTTTGGAACTTAGTTGTTTGCTATTAGTTATTATCTATTCAAAAAGATCTTTAAATTGTTCTTTAAGATTATAGATTAATTAATAATAAAATCTTCTATTGCAATTATCTTTTCGTTTTCTTCTTTGTTAAACTTTGTATCCAGATTATATATTGAATGTATTTCACTAGATCTGTTGGGTACTCTGATTAAGTTAAGACTATTAATCTTGTTTCCCATATATATTAATAACTCAATATATCAAGAAAAATCAAAATTTATATATAAGTCTATCAATTCTATTTCCGAATCAAAGTCTTCTGCCTTGCTATACCTGGATTCCTAGAACCTTTGCCTATACTATTTTGCTTTTGGTCCGATATCTTTATTGATTACATTATACTGTTACCAATTAACAAATACCACGGTAAGAAGTATCAATATATTATTACAATTGTTTGCTGCCTAACAAAAATATATCATTTCATTCTAATTGTAGAACTCTTGCAGAGAAGCTTGTCGATTGGTTTGTTGAGAAAATCTATTATTTATATAACTCATCTGATAATATTATATCTAACAAAGATTTGCAATTTATATCAGAATTTTGGAAACACTTATCCGAATGCCTATCGATCACTTTGAAACAATCCTTTTCATTTTATTTTAAATCTAATAAACAAACAAAGAGAATAAATACTATAATAAAACAATATCTTTAAGCTTTTATGAATTTTTATTAAAACGATTAATACAATTAGCTTCTGCTTGTAAAGTTTGTATTTAATAATATAATCTCGAAGACTATTGGTATATCCCCATTCTTCGCTAATTACAGTTTTCATCCACGTTTTGGTGTTGAGCCCTTCTTATCTGTTCCCTCGAATTTGTTATATCAATATAGGCACGAATTCCTGAAAACCAATGAGATTACAAATCGATTTGATATTATTCTAACAAAATTGAAAGCTCTAGTTGCTCAATTTATTCAGAAATATAAAGATTATACTAATAAGACTTGTATCAATATTTCTTTATACAAAAAGGGTGATAGAATATAAATTAATATTAAAAATATAAAAACTAATTGATCAATAAAGAAAAGCGATAACAAATAAGACAGTCCTTATAAGATTATCAAAATTTACAAACAAGTCTGTCTACTCCAGCTTTCTACTAGTTTCAAAATCTTTCCAGTATTCTACAACTTATTATTTCAATTACTCTATTGTTTATTCAAATTAGCCAATCAAAAACAATCAACAATATTAAATTCCACTAGAATTAAGGATGTATTTTAAAAAGAGATAACAAAACAAACAAAGAAATTAAGCAATAAGAATTCGATAAACTATTCAATTATTATAATGAGGATGGATTTCATTATCAAATCAAATAGAAATATTACCTAGTATTCTGATAACCTGCTGAAGACCTTCGCAGCCAGGAAGATACAATCATCACTTTCCATTTAGCAAATCCAGATAAGCCAGAACCACTTGCTTGGATAGATTTCAAAAGATCTATTACTCCTAATCCCCTACTAGTATTTATACCAAGTATATTCCCAAATCAAGACTGAAGCAAATCTAAAAAGCTCTATCAATTGATTACTACTCCTAAAAAAGTTCATTTTAATCTAATAATAGAAATTAGAGTATTTTAGTATTATTTTATATTCTAGAAGGTTAATTAATATTGTGATTGTAGACCAATCGCCTTAAACAGAGAGTACTATCACAGCACCAACTACATGATCTGTAGTTGCCTTCGTGCCTCAGATACAGAATACTAGCGCGCCCTACTTCCTATAAGTAGGGCTTCACTTTTCCATAGCTCTTCTACCCTTATGGTACAATATAAGTCTTTACCCGTACCATGACAATAGGAACCCGAAAACATTGAGTATAGAGAGCTAGAGATCCCAAAGGGAACCAAAGGCGATCCAAAACCATATATAAAGGAGGAGCGAATAACTATGGTAATAGAAAAACATATACTATTATACTTAGATAGGAAATAATAAAACTATCTCCTACACTTCTTATAATAGAAACCAGTAAGATCAAGATGATTAAAAGTATTACCATTAGTCTTATATCCCCTTTTAAATATATTTAAAAGGGAAAGGAAGAATTGTAGGATATACTCTATAAGGAAATACCCTGGCATTCCACTATATAAAAAAAATGTATAACATCTTCTATATCCTTATAAAGGAAAGCAAGGATCAAGGGATTCTATATAATTAGAGTGATTATATAGGAGATTGTATTCCAGTTTTTCTATTAAGAGGGAAGAGTTGTAGAGATACAAACTCTATAGATCAATAGATATCGTATTATCAATATGATTTTTATACTTTTAGAAAAGTATTTATACTAGATATTGGGTAATCCTAGAGGAAAGGTTTTTCTTTAAAAATTGATTAAAGATATTGATTCCTGGAAGAATATATAAAATCTAATCTATTGATCTTATAGCGATTTTAATAATTACAATCTCAAAGCACTTTTTAGTATTTGTTGGAATCAACTCGCTAGCTCCAAAGTACTTGTTAGCGACCCTCGAGATTTACTGAATGAGAGTAATCAAATGCTATACATATATCTATACGATATAGATTATACCGTTTAGTTTAATTGAGATCAATTATAGCCCCGATTTACAACATAATGCCCTATAGCTTTCGATAGGCTATATAGCTTTAGATATGCAATATTAGCATAGGGGAGTGTTAGAAAAGATGCTTATACCGCATATCACGTTATACTGTATCGGGATTAGCCCGCATGTGACTCTATCGAGTCCACATATATATATCGTATTTCTATGTAGAACTTAATAATATTAAGGCTTTTCCACCAACTCATATATGATCTTTTAACAAATATTAATATTCGATATTTGCTTTTTCTTTGATTCTTAGTATACTTATCGAAGTGTTTTAATTATTCTAAATCTGTCTTATTGTTTATTCATCTATTAGATATAGGTTTAATAGCCCATTCTATAGAAAGATTCGTTTCGGTGTATTAATTGGAGAGATGAATTTATTCTTGAATTACTAGAAATGGGGGAATAGTTTCACCCTCTCCATTTCTGAATATTATTGTTATAGCCCATTCTCGATTGCCTGATTGTATTGCCTTGTTTTTGCCATTTCGTTTAGTATTAGTTACTACTATTACTATATATATAATTCCTATTATAAAGCCTATTTCATTGAAATTATAGAAATCTCTATTCAAAATGCTATATTTCGCTTGTATATTTATAATCAATCGAAATCATTTTTTAATAAGCTTAGGATTTTTATAGAAAGCTTTTTGAAAGTTATAAATACAACTAAAACGCATTTTTAATTCAATTCGACGCTTTACAAATCAATACGCTTAGAGTTTCCTAATACATTTTATATTCCTTGATTTGAGAATATTATTTGCCATATCTTTTATATTCTTTAGTTTAAATAGAAATCCTTTTAAATCCATATCGAATATATATTGAATAATTACTTTTTCTTCTAATTCTATAATTTTATAACTATTTATTCGAATTTCTGTATAGAAGGGCAAGTCTTTTATTCTGCAGAGAAGTGTTGTATATGTTATATTATATAGCTTGGTAGCCTTACGAATGCTGAGCTTTTTATTTTTTCGAATAGCTTTAATAGTTAAGAGTATTTGAGCTTCTTTTCTTGTTGATTATATAATAAATGATTGATAAATCGTATGTTGAAGTTGGAGAGTGTAAATTGAGGTAAAAGTGGTGTATTCGGTGATATGGTGCACTCGGTGTTAAACCACGTTAGAATAGAATACATAATTATTCAGTACAGTATATATCAAGTCATTTATTCATTCATTCATCACATTATATCACATCTATCAAAGTAACACATTATATCATATCACATCACATCACATCACATCAAATCACATCACAAAACGAAAATAATAATCTGGAGTTGTGAAATCATCAATTCTCTCCATCACCATCACCATCACTCTCACCCACCCTCAAAATTAATCTCCCCTCCCCTCCCCTCCCCTTCCTTTCTCCAAAAAATATACAAACATCTCTTCACTCCCTTCCCCAATCAATTCATCCCCATCCATAAATCCCACCTGCAAACAATGCAATGCAATGCATAAATACACATGACGAGCAGATATCCCTCCAAGATGCCATCCAATTCAATTCCTCATTATGAAACGCCCAAAACCATTTATGCATGCATGCTGATATCACCCTCCCATAATCATCTCCATCGCAACAAAAAGTGAGTCAAATCCCAAGTCTACGCCTGCCCATCCCTTCGTTAACATCCCAGCCAATCCATCCCATGCCATTTTAATTCATCATTCCTTATCGTGACAGACATTGATCTAATAAAAAAAAGAAAATGAAACCATAAAATAATGAGAAAAGTTCTTAATCCCATCCCAATACAAGAAAACTCCAAAAGGTATATGCCACATTCCATGTTTTTGTCTCTTCTCAGTTTTCGTATCTCGCTCCAAAGTTGTATAAAAATATTGTTCAAGAATTGAAAGTTGTCAAGGTGAAGCCCTTTCAGCTGCATCGTTTTGTGTCGAATAAAAAGAAGGCATCGTTGGTACCGGTGGTATCTCATCATTAAGTCTTTTGGTCGACGAAATATTCAATACGCGATACAACAAACTCTTTCTCTTTCCATCAGCGCGTTTGCAAGAAAGTTGTTGAACTCCGGAACATTCAGTACGAGGACCCATTGTTCTACCACCACTTGGAAGACGTCTCATGGCAGCTCCAAGCTCACTTCGGTGATCCCATGTCGGGGAACCTTCGCTACTCTTACGTTTAAGTTCTTCTTCCCAACCATATATATCGGTACTGGTACTGCTTGCACAAGAATTGGTGCTGACAGTCGAACAGGAATAGATACTGCTAGCAGAAGAACACGCGACGCTTGCATCGGCTAATAGTGACTCGTCAGGAGACCGATCGTCCATGATAGTACTAGTTGACGAAGTAGTCGTTGCTAGGCTTGTCCTCGACGAGTGAGCTTCCGAGTGTGCTGAAATCCAAGTACCATTATCTCCCTCGAAATCAAAGTCTGCATGAACTTCGGTATCGGTAGTTGTCGTTTCTGAAGACTTTCTTGGTTCCTCTCGTTCAATCACCTTCGCTGGAATATAGAACGGCGAGCCTGCAACTTGCATCATCTTCGCTTTGGCCATCTCCTTCTCATTTATAGCTGACCCCAGTTTTGCGGCCACGTCATCCTCTCCAATACCTCTACTCATACTCCTCCCCTCTTCAATGTTTGCCCAAGTCTGGGACCTAGAAAACCCAAATGAAAAATCCTTCTCCTTGCCAACATGCATTGATGCTAGGTTTGCAACGAGCGAAGGCCGACGTCCGGAAACATCAACTGGTGAACCAGGATGCGCGACCATAAGTGGTGATGCTCCTTGAGTTGATTTCAGTGTTGTGTCAACGCGAGGCTGCGATGCCTGCTTTGTCAAGGTGGAGTTGTTCATGGGATTTTCGATTGGTCGATTCATCGAGCAAGGAATATTAGAAAAAGCATCAGAAAGTGGTGACGCGACCTGTTCCCGTCATGGTTGACTACCATTTTGATCATCACTCACGCTGTGGCGTCGCGAACTACTTGTCGATCCATGAGCAGATCGACTCTTCTTGAAACCGAGTTTCGCACCCACCTTCTTCCAGCTAACACTTCCTTCACGAGAATGACGTGGGCTAGTTCCAGGCGAATCACTTACGAAACCAGTATCTGAAGTTGGTGGAGTGGTTGGAGGAGTGATGGGTTCCATTGGAGATGGCGAATCAGTGTCGTCTGTGAGACTTTCGGATTCGATTGAGGAGGTTCCTGAGGATCCAGACATGAATGTTGATAAGCGAGCAGAAGTTACGCGACCTAATGCAGCAGTAAGATGTGGATGTTGAGGTGGTCTTTGCGATGGAAGGCTGTGAGAATGAGACATCTTATCTCCACTGAGAGGTGGACTTCCCTTTCTCGTGCGTAGTCGAGAATGAGACATAGATCGCTCTTCCAAAGATTCGGCCATGGCAGCAGCGTCACCAAATGACTCATTCGAGGCCCACGGGCTGTGATCGGAGGCACGTGATGGAGGAGCAATTGAATTCAAGAATGGAACCAACACAGATTCATCCATCAACTCATATATGATCTTGACGGCTTGATCCAATTCTCTTGGGTCTGGCGCCTCGTATATGTTCGGTAAATGAATTAATCGATCCCTAACATCAGAAGGTAGATTTACTTCTCGTGGCCCATTTGGCGCAATGTATGCATCCAACAACTTTCGCCATAACATTCGTACATATTCGGAATCTTGATCGGTTGGGGATAGTGGTGAGTATGGATCCCGGCCGTATGTCGCCTGATAATGTTTCTTGTATCTGGTGGCATCCATGGTAAACTCTAAGGTTTCCAAACAATGGTTCTGTGACAGGTATGCCATGAAGGCGCTCAACGTCCATGGTGGTGGTGCAGCATCCGACAAGACCTCTTGTAACGTTGGTCGCCTGGGACAATAAGGGCCAGGTGGGATCGAAAGATTGAGAGATTTCGAACTCGACGGTAAATATTCTCCTGACGACATGAAGCCCTCGTCGTCCGCGTCGCAGTCCGAAATGACGGATGAACAACGCGGTGATGATTCTCTCGAGTACGTTTGAACGTATAGTGGGGGAGGTTTCCTTGTTTTCGATTTTCGCATCGCGCTTCGAAGGTATCTCATGGATACTATTTGTAATGTGTGTACACTTTATTGCTTTCTCCTATATGATTTAACTTTCCCACTTATTCTATCTCGTAGAATGTATCGGGTGTGAAGAGAAAAGCAAGTGCTATTGTGTGCCGCTCATTTGTCAGAAACAAATTAGTCCAAAGCAGGTCGTCAAAATAGGTGTTTGCTGCAAGGTACAGTAACTCGATTCGATGAAGCCTGCGTGGAAGGCAAGCCAGTCGTAATCTCGTGGGATGCAGGCTACCGCAGAGTACCGAATTTTGACAGGGGACTTTTCCAATGATTGAACGACTCCAAGAGGTGTTGAATCACAAAACCGGATAAGCACAGAAGGTCGTGGCGGTTGATATTCTTCTGGAAACGAGTCTCTGAAGTTCGGAAACGTTGTGTATCGAAGTGAGAAACAAGGTCGCAATGGTGAGAGGCTGAATAAAAACTAAGCCTTCTTTTTCCAAGTTCTTCGTAATGCGACGTTTGTCAAGTAATACAAATGTGACCTTCTATAATCAAACCAGGCTGAGATGTGAATCCTTAGCAATAAGTTTATTTTCGTCGTTTGGTGAATAGAGAATGGATGAAGTCTCAGCAAAGTAAGAACGTCAAAGATTAAAATGAAGTATTAGACCGGATAGAAGAACAGTGAAATGGAAGGATTGAAGGAGTGATCCGATTTTTCGAAACGACGTAGTAAATCTAGATTTTCAGAGTAATCTCCTCGGTGAAGTTGGGACCAGAGTAGGTGGGTTTCGAATCAGATAGTAGCTTAAATGAGGGCTTTGACAAGATGTCAAGTTTGAGAATGCGCCAGACGATAGATATAGAACGGAAAAGCTCCTCGTGTTTGAGAAATCGAGATTGAGGGATATAAGATCCGATGTGCAAGATATTATTGGCGGGTGGAACAAAGAGAGACTCTAGGTGTAAGAGATTGTAATTGGAATTTGTGATTGTGATTTGTTGCAGTGCAGGCAGTGTAGTGTAGTGTAGTGTAATGTAGTGTAGTGAGGTGTTGTGTTGTGTTTTGACGTGTGGTGTATATTGAAAGTCTGACGACGACGATGAATTGGTGATGATGATGATGAAGATGAAGATTCTCGTGTGTATGTAAAGGTGTGTGTGTATATGTGGTGTATGGTGTCTGTCTGTCTGTCTGTCTGTCTGTACCGGTATGTGGTATGTGGTATGTATGGTAATGTATGTGGTGGATGTTGGTGTACCTAGGTATCTATGAAAATGATTGAATAATCGAATTGACGCTACGACGGAGTATGGCTATGGTAATATCTCCGACCCTTTTTATTAATAATTGTTTGAATCGATCTAACAATTGAACCAATTCCCTTAATAATGATAATTATAATAAAAACAAGTAAGAGCAACGGTAAAAAATAAAGATTTAGAAGGGATGGGTGTGAATATGAACGATTTCTACGGTTCCCAAGAGGAAAAAAGTAAAAATGGCGGCGGTAGAAGAGTCGTCAAAGGTAAAGTGCAAAGTGAGAATTATGGATCTTTTCCACTAAAGAATTAGCATCATCAGAAGAGTTTCCCTTCCCTTCTCTTCCCTGCCTGCTTCTCTTTCCTTTCCCTTTGAAGATTCAAACCACAATCACAACCATGATCCTGGCTGGTTCCAGAAAAGGATAGGGATAGTGTGGATGGTGGAGCAAAAGAGGAGTGAAGTGAGATGAGTGGAGCAGGTGAAGATGGCGCGGATGGATGATTCTGGGTGGATATGTATGAGATAGGGATCGGGATTCGGTAGACCAAAGTGATGCTAGTTGGGAAGTTGGACCAATTTGTGGGAGAGAATCTCCTCTTGAATACGAGGTTGGGTCTGGCCAAGAAGAATGAATATATATGCTAGGGATATATGTGTATATGTATGAATTATGAAAAGATATAGATCTTTTATGTCAAGGAATATAGTGATGGGCGATGGAGTTGATGGAGGGTTGATGGAGGGTTGATGGATGATTGATTGAATTTCTGTGTAAGCTGTGTGACGTGAATATTAACAGTAGGTAACTTGTAACTCTTTCGATTTCCCAATAAAAGAAGTTAGAAAAGTATAGAGAGGCAAAGGCGTAATATGATCTGGTCTGGGATGTATGGTCTGGTTTGCTGTGTGGCCTTGTCTTGCTTGCACTGCACTGAAAAGAGAAGAGGAGAGAAGAGTGACTTTTCTAAAAGTGGCCAGTGATGGTGGATCTGTGAATGGGTGAGTGAGTGAGTGGGTGAGTGGGTGAGTGGGTGAGTGGGTGAGTGGATCCAAGGCTGATTCGAATGAGACCTCTTACTCGTTGGCTGGTTTCAAAAAGTGGATCAAGAGTGACGGAAGTGGTGATACAAAGATTGGGAGTGTCTGGGACTGTGACTGTGACGGTTGATAATCATTTATTAATCATTGCTTGCTGGCGACCAGTGGCTGGGTGGGCGGTGGGTGACTTTGCACCGCCGTTCGTGTGTTTTCAGTAATGTCGTGAAAGAGAGACAGCGTGAGTGTTGGTTGATATATCTATCGGATGCCGTGATGATGTGAAATGTTCAGTGTTAAATGTCTTCAGAGGTGAACATTGTCTTTGCTTCTTTTTCCTCAATTGGGGGATGTGCACACGACGGTTGATGTTCTCTTGCGATGATCGTGAAACTATCGCCAGATATAACGACCTGGTACAACGACCGGGTATGATGTTCATATATGATGTTCATGTATAATACTCGAATGCCGTCGATATGCAATTTATTCAATATTATCCCAGGAGCAAAAAGAACATCAAGAAAAGAACTTCTGGAACTTTTCCCCTCCGGTCGATGGTGGGAGTTTATTATCCCCGTCACCTTACGAATCTGAGACGGAATTGAATCCGCTAAGAAATACGCGTGGTCCTGGGAGGTCTTGGGTAAATACTTAAAAGAGCGAGGGAGAGAGATCACGCTAAGGGAAATAAAATAAATTCAAAAAGGATAAGAAGAATCCACCCACGCTAGAAAAGCGCTAGAAGATTTGTTAGCCACGCTCCATGCCATCGAATCAAATCATCATATTCTTTGCTAATCCATGGAATCCATTGAGCGTACCACCCGTCATCCAATCATCGTCTCGTCACACTTTCATCATGCGCTCACATCCGAGTTAGGATTAGTGTCAAAGTCCACAGATGCTTCTTTGAGCAAGGATATAGATTGTGGTTCTGCATCCCTCATTAAAGCAGCACCTCGCGTCTCTCTTCATCCCCTCACGGAAAACTGTATCCTTCGTACGTTTTCCCTCCCGACATGGATATAGCCAGGTTTATCAGCAGCAATCAACAATCCAACGGAGTTAATGAGATTCTTGGCCTAGCTCTCGATTCTGGCTTTCCTCTTGGCACGCATGGATTCTTCCAACACTAATCGATAAATCGTTCCATCATTCGAATGATTTGATGCTGACGGCGTTGCGCGATGCCTTTCGGAGGAGAGATAAGTGGATCTGGATTATTAATAAGCATGAGGAGGACAACTGGGCTGGGGATCTCTTCGCATGGGGCAGGCAAGCACAATCTGTGACATGATGTAAAGTCCTCCCTAGGGTATCCCTTATGGAACTGTGAAGCGTGGAAAATGATCTGTCCCAACTCTCCCGGGAACTTGAAAGGATGATTCTTGATGAAGGTGTGCCGCGTTTGAGGACTGGGAAGGCTATGCAATGCTTGAAATCTTCCCAAGACCGTTGGTGCTACACAAATTACACTCCGATGGCAAATCGTGGCGTTCTCTCCATACTTCTATCCCTTCCATCCATTCCAGAGAACTCTCTGTTGGAAACACGCAAGTAATCGTATCACCAACCACATGAACATTGTCATTCCATCCCAAACCCCTTCTGCTCCCTCCGACATATCACACAAGGCAAGTTCCGTGAGATCCCTTCCAGAGGTCACCAATCACAGCAAACCTCCATACCCACTCGATCCCCAATTCTCCTCTCCCAATGACACAACATCAAATACCTTCACCTTCACCTTCACCTCATCTTCAATCCACCGATAAAGTCTCACGCTACCGATAAGAAGCCGTCCCAAACGGTAATTATCCTACGTACAGACTGCGTACACTGACGTTGCCCGTCCATCATGTCCCCAATCGAGCTACCTTCCTTTCCCCATCATATCATGAAAAACCAGTTCATAGTCCACCCACCACATCCGATAGTCGTGAAGATCATCACATCATCTCGATACCGTATCTAATCACCGTCTTCTGATCAACCTGAGCCACATACACCCAAGGTCTAACCCCTCATTTGATTTAATTAACTTTTCCCACGGCCTCCCGTTCGGGCTTCTTCATTCTTCATCTACCGGAGGCGTGGGACTGGTACAGAGGAACTGCCGATGTTGGGAGGTTGGGTGTGCTATCGACGATTCCCCATCGCCTTGTTCGTGTGGAGTCTGCTTTGCTTGCTTAGTCTCTTTTCTCATTTATGCCTTTAATTTGCTTTCTCTAGTCGATTCGCACGTTTACACTAGTTCCTCATCTCTCTCCTCACCTACCTACTTCGTACCTTCACCACAACTCATCTACCGATACCGTACATCTACATATCTGCTCACCACGTGAAGTATGCACAACATCCCCTCCATCCTCCAATAGATCATTGATCCATCCATCCAATCCAATGCATCCCCATCCCCATCTCAAATATCATGTCATGTCAAAGAAACATCACTCCCTCATCTCGCATCAGACCAACCCCTCACCCGTAACACCCACCGTCCGTCCACCCCTCGCACCCATCTTCCATTCACAAGCCTCCATTCCAAATAAGCATACGGAGTAGAAAGCTAGACCACCTCCTCACCCGTCGTCACGTAACACACACAACACAAGCCCTAACCATCTCGAGAAGGTAGATAGGTAGGTGGGTAGGTTATCACGAATCAATATATCCTCCCTCGTCTATGATACCTACTTACCTCCTCCCGAGTCTAGACTCTCATTTTCCT